GAATCGGAAGGATGTGATAGTGAAATTCAGAATAATCACCTGGCTTGAAAATGGCTCTTAAGATGCTTCACTTCATCCATGTCCCCACAAAACTTTTAAAGTTAAGATAAACAGGCCTCTAGTCATATAAAATGAGATTATTGATTTCAAAAGAGAACCTGTGACCTGGTAGATTTGCAACTAATTGGGACACAAAGACACAAATTAACTTAGAGCTGAATGATGTTGAATTTATAGACATGGGTTCAATTTACATTCAATCTAATGTCATAAAATCTGGTTTACAAAGAGCATTTATCTTCCAACAATATACAAGGACTGCTTACCAAAAGAAGTGGTTCAAATATTTTTTCAGAAGAGGTTGACAAAAACCACAGCTTTGAATTCATGGGCGAATTACAAATGATTTTCAGCTTTCTTTAAAGCAGGCCCAGGAGGTGGTTTATGTAGTAATATTCTTTAGGAATCACTGGCTATGTGATTATGTATATACAGACATGTGCATATAACAAAACATTTTAAAGTATAACTTTGACTTTTCATTAATTCAGGCTTACCTTGGCCTATAATTATTAATTGGTTTAAAAGGACTGAGTTAATTTGATTTTCCTTGCATCCCATTAACTAACAATATGCCTTATATACTCTTACTTGAGCCATCACAACAATGACCAAGCACTGTACACTCTTGCTCAATGAATCCTCTACACAGTTGGTATTATTAGCTCCATTTCACAGATAGGGAAAGTGAGATTCAAAGAAGTTAAGTAATTTGCCCCAAATCTCATGTGGTAAAAGGTAGAGCAAAGATGCAAGCCTTGGTGATCCAACTCTAAAGCCGGTGAGTTTAACCACTATGTTACAGAAATGCCAGTACCTACCCCTATTTGTGGCCAAAAAAAATCACTGTCAGACATAACTTCAATCGCAATGATTCAGAGCTTGACAAGGAACCTCCGCAGCCTCCTCGTGGAGGACACAGAATACAGTAGTAACATGTGTACCAAGCACGTTTCTCTGGTCACTTCCTGGGAAATGCAGAGAATGGTACCCTTTAGATAATTTCCAAAGGACCCCAGGGAAGGGGGCATAGCCTTATATACAGATACATTAGATGAGTAAAACACCCTTTGTATATTTTTGAAGCACTTCTACATTCATGAGCTGATTCAAGCCAGCACCCTGTGGGAAGGTGGGTGGTGGGTCATCCCTGTGTGAGACACGAGGAGACAGAGGCTCAGGGCTACTAAGTGAAGTCCCAGAATTACTGTGTGACATTGGCTGGACCAAAACCCAGGTCTCCTAGCTCCCTTTTCATCTACCAGCCCCCTCCTCAGGGCCTAGACCTCAGCTCTGGGGACCATGCTAGCTCATGGCAGGTGTGCCCAGCATCAGGCGGGTCCTGCAGGTGCAGAACGGAGCCCACTGCCCCTGGCACCCTTTCCCCTGGGAATATGGCAATGATGCTAAAGGAACAAAGCACCGAAGCACCAACGTGTTCTCTTCTTTTGTCTATTCACCGACAAACACCTCAAAAGAGACAAGGAGTTAAATGAACAATTTTAGAATTGGAAAACCACGAAGCTTTTAAAAAGTCAGCCTGACGGGCGACGTGGCCTGCCTGAATTGTAGATTTCACTGAGACATGCTTTCTAGTCACTGGTCATAACAGGCCCATCTTCTCAATGACAACTTAATGTGAAGCTGCCACACGAGTTAGACAGCTCGGCTCCTCCCGCAGCACCCTGTGCTCAGAGACCAAGGTCTTCCTCTGCTCATGCCTGGCTACGGGGGGTGCAGTTTGTAAACTTCGTACTCACCTTGAGGAAAAGGGTCTGCTGGAAAACCAAAGGGGTTTCCAAAGCACCAACCTTAGAATGCTCTCAAAATGTACCGGCAACGAATCATGTGGCAGATCAAAATCGGTTCAAGAGTAAATAGGATGGCCTGGCCACACAAAATCTGAGACGGAGCCAAGGAGCAGGAACAGATATTCCCCCGTGGCCAACAGACTTAAAGACACACACCCTCATTTCATGGTTCTGCATCAGAAAGCTACAGCAAGGTCTTCAACGTCTACAATAGGAGTCTTCTATTTCGGTGCTTTTGGGATTCCGTTTGTGTTGGACTCATGGCCCTAAAAGGCTTTGCAACATTAAGTTGTCTTTCTTTTAGCATTTACATCCTTCTGGTTTTGTCACCTCTGTAAAAATTGTGAAGAACCCTAAGACTACAATGAAAGTATTTTGAATTTGCTTTAACAAGAAGACGAACACGAGGGACCCATTTTGATTTCCGGTTGCCTTGGGGGGAAACCAAGGGGAGGTGGCTGGGCAGAGACCCGCAGGTCACTGTTAGGGCAGGTGGGAGCCTGCCAGCTCCTCGGACGTTTCCCCAATAGATGCCTTCTCATCTTCCAAGATCCAGCTGACAGCCCTTGGGCCACACCTCTCCTCCAGTGTTGCCCGCCTGCACTGCTTAACAATAGTCTCTCCCGCCAGACAATGAAGGTCTGAACACTAGGCCTCTGTCTGTGGCTTAGACATCTTGGCACCCCTGGCCCTTGGCCCAGAGCCGGGCACTCAGCAGAACTCGGGAATCGCTAGCCAAATTAGTCAACAGGCTGAAAGGCTCTGCTCTGCAGACGTGGTTCTCACTTTACACAAAGAGCCCCCAGCATCTCCTACCAAAGTGGCCTCTGGTGGAGGAGAGTCCGTATGCAGCCCACGGGTACGTGCACCCACAGGGGGAGGCACTAGGGAGTGTTAGGTTTTATTTTAAAATCTATACATCATTTGCATTCTCCTTCAGAAAGGGATCTAGTTTGGTTTTGATACAAAAATGTTTTTTAAGTTACTTTCAATTAAATTATTTCCCCCGAAATACAGTTCAGTAAACTGGTTGTTCCATGAGGGTGTGTGCCCTTTTTATCCCCCAGATCTGGGTACCCCCGCCATTGGGGGTGCATATTTAATGCCCACCTTTCTAATGAGGAGCCCCTCCTCCCAGCTTTTCCTTTTTTCTTTTTTAAGCAGCTTCCTCGTGCCAGGGCGCCGGTGCCTGCTCTGCGGAGCTCAGAGATAAGCATGTCACCGGCTCTGTTGAAATTAGCGGTTTCCATGGCCTCAGTCAGTTTAGTTGGGTTTAGGAGACACGAGGCGCCAAGGGAGTCACAACAGAATTGCTGTTGACCTTGGCCAGGCTGCTCCTGCGGCAGAGTTCAGCACGATGCCGTTTCTCCAGGGATCATTTCCACCCTCAAACCCCACCACCAGCCGGAGCCACGGAGGTTCACTAGGAGGAGGGCACTTTAAAGGTCTAAGTGAAAGAGCATGAGGCTTGAGGAGCCACTTCTCTGAAGAAGGAAGCTTTGCTATGGGTGGGGGGCCAGGGCATGCCTCCACCCCCCAACTCAGTCCCAGCCCCGACCCCTCTCACTGGGAGGCACACTGCTGGGGCTGCTGGGCCCTAGGTAGCCTCCATGTGTGAAACTGACCCCCTGGGTCAAGGAGAATTCCAAATCCTCCCCCACCCCCCTGCAAGCAGGCAGGGAGGCGGGAGGGAGGCGAGGAGGGGAGCAGAGATGGACAGCTGGCTCGGCTTTCTGCTCTGAGAAAAAGGCGACAGAGGTCTCTCCACTGACTCGGCGTTACATGAAGACATCACTTGCCCGAGACACAAGCCCCACAAGCTCCGAAAGAGGAAGATAAAGTGAGTGACAAGAGGAAGATAAACTCACTGGGAAGCAAGTCCATCAGCAGCGTTTCCTGATGATGTCTGCACTCAGTGAGTAACACAGGCTCCCCGGGAGGTGGGACCTCCTGGGCCTCCAGCAGCACCCCAGCACCCCCTCCAGGCCCCCCAACAGTTACAGTCCCCCTGCTGGCCGCTTCTGAGAGAGCCTCGACAGTCCCAGGTCCCTTCCCTGGGGTACTTGCTCCCCTTTCTGGGGTACCTGCAGGACAGTGAGGTGGCACAGCTGCCCCAAGGTAAGGCGGAGCCCAGAGACACCCAAGTCCCCGTCCTGAGCCCATCTCCCCTGAGCCCTCTCTATAGAAGGTAAAAAAAAAAAAAAAATGAAGTTCCAAAAACAATGACGGAAGGACAAGGACCATGACAAGACCAAAAAACATGTATGTGCAGCCCTGGCCAGTTTGCTCACTGGTTAGAGCATCAGTCCACGAACCAAAGGGTTGTGGGTTTGATTCCCAGTCAAGGGCACATACCTGGGTTGCAGATTCAATCCCTATCCTCCCCACAACCCCCCAAGTCAGGGCAGGTACAGGAGACAACCAGTGGCTATTTCTCTCTCTCTCCCTCCCTCCTCCCTTCCTCTCTAAAACAAAATCAATGGAAAAATATCCTCAGGTGAGTATTAATAAAATAAAACAAAACAAAAAAAAACATGCATGTGCAAAAGTTGATCATTACTCGATATGAAAAATTCTACCAGTTAAGATTAAAAATGAATTAGAGGGAAAATTCTCACAGTGACAGCAGCAGAAAACCAAGCTAATCAACAATCCCGAGAGCAGGGCATTAAGATTTTAAAATGTGTTTAGTATTTATGTGCTAGCCTAGGCTTATTTCTCCTTCACAATGAAATCTAAAACACCTTGGAAATATGCATGATTATCTCAAAGGGGCAGGTTATGCACCAATGGGAATAAAACCACAAAAGACGCCCTTTCCTGGGGGAGACCAAGGTCGGGACTCCTTTTCCTCCCTGGTAACCCACTTTGGCACTTCAGCAAATTAATGCAACTGGCTTCAGGGAAACGTTCTCATTAAATTAATAGTGTTTGGCAAGCATCAGAAACACAGAATCTCACAGATAGATACGGGCAGAAAGAATCACAGTTCAATCCAAAAGCCACACACAGAGGAAACATCAGAGTTCACACACATGCAGGGGAGCCTCGGGGGCGACGGGGGGGACACACACAGCCGCCCCCGGAACATGAGGCAGCAGAATGGGCAACATGAATCCAACTGCTTACCCACTAAGGACACCAAGAACCAGGTTAAGGACGAAAAATGAGCCAAGGATAATCAGACTAACAAAATACACCCATGGCCATTCCCATCCTATCGCATCATTTACCTGTAAAATGTAAGGAGATGTTATCAGTTATCTATTTACTAAAGAGCGGAGCCCCAGGAGCAGCTGCCAGACCACGTGGGGCTTTGGTGGAAGGTCAGTGCCCTTAGGGCTGGACCCCACCCAGGGCCTTCCGTTTCTTGTCCTCACCTAAGGATACGTTCTGCTGCTGAAGTCTGGGGCCTACCAAAAGTCTGCTGGGACCAGCTCATTTAGTGACTGTTTTGGACCAATTCATCTGCATTATATTTGGATCCAGACCAGTAAAGCAATTATAAATGTGTCTCATTTTAGGACAGACAGAAGGGCAAGCAATGGAAAGTATTTAAATGCCAAGCAACAACGCTGATGAACTCCTGGTCAATAACTATCCGATCGCTGCCTTTCATGAAGGCTGGTGAGGTTCCAGGAACCATCGTGATTTGGGAAGCCTCAGCAGAGGACAAGCGTCTTGGAGGACATGTGAGGCTTGGCACCCACCCGGCGGCCCCATCTAGCAAAGCCTGTGTGGTCTTGGCAACTGTCCTCAGGGCTCTGCTTTCAAGATGAAAGAGGTGTAGCTTACCCGCTCAATACACCAAGTACAAGATTTAGTACGAAAAATGACCCAAAGATGACGAGACTGACAAAATACACCCAGGGCAATTCAAATCCCATAGCATCATTCATCTGTAAGAAACAAGATGGTCTCATAGGGGTGGGTTAATAAGGGAATCTAGTAAGGAGAGAGGGTCACATTAGAGACAGCATTCTATACATTTAATGAAACATTTACTTAGATTCAAATCAGAGACAACAGTAGCCAATACATTTTCATTATATATTACACACACACACACACACACACTCACACACACACAAAGGCATCAAAGCTTTCAGGGCAAATGAGAGCCAACTTTAGCCACCGGTAGGGCAATCAGCTGGGATTTGGCTTTTCCTCACAGGAAGCTGCCGCCATTAGGGATTTTCTGAAAGGATCTTGGTAGAGGACAAAACTACTGCTTCGCTGAAAATTATTTCCTCCTCTGTCCAAGTTGTTAGTACTTCTTTTTGCTTTTGAAATTTGGGATGGTGGAAAAGTCTTAGTTATAGAGACAAACTGGCAACATTTGACTCTATAAATTCTATTCTTTAAAAAAAACACACACACTAAAATAATAACATTCCATTGGGAGCCAACCTCTCCAAGGAAACCTACCACCCTAAATCTGAATGGCCCTCAATCAGTGAGTCAAGCACAGCTAAATTAATGCAAAGTAGGCGAGCGCTCAGAAGTCAGCGAGCTGACATGCTCCAGGAAATGAGATTTTCATGCCTGCACCACAGGAAGGACCCAGGAGAAGCAGAAGCACTATCCCCCACACCTACCCTGGATGACCCAGCCTGGAAGCCTGGCTTCATCTAGTGAAGCGGTTCTCAACCTGTGGGTCGCCACCCTTTGGCAGTCGAACGACCCTTAGGGGTCGGTTGCCTAAGACCATCCTGATTCATAACAGTAGCAACATTACAGTTATGAAGTAGCAACGAAAATAATTTTATGGTTGGGTCACAACATGAGGAACTGTATTTAAAGAGTCAGAAGATTGAGAACCACTGATCTAGAGGAACCCCATGCCCCACTGTGGGACAAGCTTCTGTGGGACAGTCAGACATGGCCTCCTGGACAGACACCCCCAAGAGGGTTTGGTCATGAGCAGCTTTCATGCTGGAGCAAACAGGTACTTTAAGGTTCACGGCCGGATGAACTTTCCAACAGCACAGGTCAGTGTTAAATTGGGCAAACGCTTCTCCCAGGAAGGAGATGCTGAGGGCCAGTTGGGGACAACAGGAATGACCCCAGGCCGGACTTTGCTGGAGCACCCAGCACCTCCGGCTGACAGCACTATACCTAGTCTGGGCCGACTCGTGGCTCTTGCCTTGCAGGTACAAGGCCTTCGGACTTTAAGCATGTGCTTTCCTCCACACTATGTGGCTCCAGGTTTCCGCTTTACAGAACGAGACTCATGCATTTCACTGTTTGCCTCACACAGAAGCCAAACAGGAAGAGAGAACATTAAAAAAAATTACCTAACATCTGTTACTGAAGTCTAGGGAAAGGGCATTAAATCCCTTACGAAACACCTGTTTGGCCACATGAAAACTGATGTGCTTAATAGAACTCATATCAGTCTGCACATCTTACATTGGCAATTAGAGTAATGAATGAGCCAAGGCCATGGCTGCAATTGTTGATCTAATTAAGCTGGGTAAACTAATTTCAGCTGGAAGGCATAGGGTAATTCTTCCAAAGCAGCTACGCCACCAAACTTATTTAAAAACCCATGTGTGGAGGACAAGAAAACAGGCTGCTTGGTGTAGTGGCCAGAGCCCAGCCTGGAGGCAGGACCTTCTATGGGGACCTCTCTGGGCCTGCTTCCTCTCTATTGGAACAGGAGTGCGTACGACAGGAGAGAGCATGCTCACAGGATGGGAGAGAGCTGTCCAAGTCCAGGACTCCCACCAGGAGACCTCGCTTTTCAACAACTCTGGCCAAGTCAGTGGGCTGAGCCCTCAGCTTCACCCCTTCATTTGGGCCTCAGTCTTGTGTTGTCTGCTCCACATGGGAGGAAACTTTTATTTTTAAGGAAAGACCTTTATAATTTCTTAGGAGTGTTTGACAGATTCAGATTTGCTCAAATCAGAAATATCACCTGGAATGATCACTGGAGGCTGGGGGCGAGGCTAAAGCTAAACAAAGGCCACAGGAGACTCTAATCCCCAGACATCAGGGAAGAGAAGCAGAGCTCAGGCTTCGAGGCCAGTCTTTCTCCCAACTAAACCTTCTCAACCCAATCTCTTCTCAGAGGCCAGTGTTTCTCAGACCTTATATACACAGGACAAATCAGAACTGACAAGCTGTTCCCCAAAATACCCACATGAAAACAGAGACACTAGTTGGGATTTTGTCTGCAAGGTCTTTATGCACAATGGGGAAATGGGCATGAGCTGAAGCATTTCAATTTAGATATCTTTTTAAAATATTTATATCACAGTTATCATGTGGAGCCACCTGATGCCCAGGGAATAATATTCTACTGGGTGTCAGTTTTCCCTTACTTCAAAGGTTGAAATGCATATTCATGTCTCCAATTGAAGGCCATCCTAAAACTACTGGAAACACCACTGGATACCTGGGATGCTGGCTGTAGGCAGATCCCCTGAGCATGGAATAAGAGAAAGGTACAGGAAGGCAAGCACTTGGCCAACTAGAGAGGAATTTCCAGGTACCCTGAAGGAAGTCAATGGTCAAGTTGACCATGAGAATACCCCATTAGAGCCTGACAGCCAGCGACTCCATAGGTGCCTTCACTGAAAAGAGCTTGGCAATAAGGCAAGAGGCCACATATAATTTATATGGACAGCTCTCTCCTGAAACCAATACTTTTTAAATTAATTTCTTACATTCAAAAACATGTCCTCCGAGTTAAAGGAGAAAAATAAAAAAGAATCATGTAGTCTTGTTCTGCACCTTAAAGACAACAAATTTAAAGCCCCAAGAGCTCCAGTGACCTGTCCAAGGTCAAACACCAAGCTCTCGCCCAGCCCTAATGTTCATTCCTTGCACTATACCCTTCTGCCTCTGTGGCCAACAAATGCATGCGAGTCAGATGACAGCTTAATTATGCTTATGGAACTCAATTTATAAAAGCTCCACTAATAATTTTTTTTCCACCAGAGTTAATAATCCTACTCCCCACACATCCATATGGTTCTAAGTGTGTCTTTCTGAATATCAGGCATACCTGTACTTTCCTTCTCAAGACCACTGGCAAGACTCTTGAGATCTGAGGTCTCAATGAGCTTGGTAACTGACTGAATATAAACCTGACAAGATGCACATAATCCCTGGCAAAGACTTTGTCCACCATATACAAACAACCAAAGGATTGGAAAATTTGCTTGCCATCAATATTTAAAATCAAATCTCCTTAGTTATCTCTCAAGATGTTTCCTTGATACCCTCGTTGTGGATAAAAATTAATATTTAAACATGGCCCATCTACACTGAGGCAATGGGATTTTACACTTGAAGAGTAATAGTAATTAGTCTTTGCTGTGCTGGGCATGGATGTTCTGTTCTGGAACAGCTATGTGGCTTCCAGCTGATTGTGGCCCATAACATATTAAGAAGGCTGGGTGCCTTGCCTGCCTATCTCTATGATGTAATCAACAGGTAATTAAAAACAACCTGATGTGTTTCAGAGACTAAGATCTTGGTGAAGATGGTGGAAGATGTGACTTTGCTGCCCCAAATGTTATAGAAGGGTGGAGATATACCAAGGAGAGAGTGCTGGATTCTAGTCTAGACCAGGGGCCAACAAACTATGAGCTGCAGGCCAAACCCACCCAGCCACCTGCTTTTGTGCAGCATTTGAGCTAAAAGTGGCATTTACATTTTTAAATGGTTAAAAAAATCAAGAGAGTATTTTATGACACGTGAATGTTATACAAAATTCAAATTTCAGTTTCCATAAAAATGGCTTCATTAGAAACCATCTGTCTACATGTTGCCAATGGCTACTTCTGAGCAACCCAGGGCAGAGGGCAGAATTGAGTTGTGACACAGACATTATGGCCTGCAAGGCCAAATACATTTACTATCTGGCCCCTTATAAAAAAAGAATATATACCCACATTCTAGATCAAGGACCACAACCTCTTGCTGTAGGACCCTAGGGATGTTCAGTGACCTCTCTATATTCCACTGTTTCCATCTTCAAAATCCCAGACTTTCTCTAAAGGGATATAGGCTGGGATAATATTAATAAATTATGTGTGTTCCTCCATTGAAATAAAGATGCCATGTAGTTCATTGAGACTATAACTATTATATTGTTAAATTATTAACTCTGACTGTCATATTAACAATAGAGATCACAATTACATGATCTTGGGTGATACTGCAAGGTTCTCAGGAAGGCAAGTGGAAACTCGTTTCTGGGCACATGGAGTTTTCTCTCCTTTAATCTCACACTCCCAGAGGTTTCACTTGCTTGACAAAAGGAAACTGTCATGTGAGAATGCGCAGAAATATAACATAAAGTATAAAATTGTCCATTAGTCAAGGCATGTTGGATCAGCAGTGAACAATTTACCTTGACTAGAGAGAACAACAAAGTTGAGAGGATCACAGATTTTTTTTTTAATCAAATTGCTGTTTTCTGTACTGTTTCGGGGACGGATTCGAGTTTGGGCTATTTGGATGATGCTTTTTGGATTTACCAGAAATTTCAAGGGAAATCTGGGAGTGAGAACTCAACTAATCCAACGAGGAGTTGCAACTTTTTAAACAATACTAGTGAAAAGGAACCCTTTGCTTAATTTGAGGGTCCCCTTGCATGACCAAGGTCTTGGTTCATCCAATATAATCTCCCTCCTTCGTCCTTTCCATGAAAGGCATTGACATATAAATATAAACAATAGATGTGCATACCCACACAGACACACACACACACACACATACACACACACACACACACTCCTATAACAACAAGAAAAAGGAGAGAAAAGGAGAGAAACAAGGAATAACATGCTGGTGCTGCTTAAACCTTATTACCAAACTAGACACAGACTCTGGGGTTGAAAATAAAAACATACCCTCCCTGCCTAACATTGAGGATAGAGGGACTTCTATAATCCTGTAAGCATGTGGTCACTGCTGAAGGGAAGCAAAAATCTACTATAACCATCAGATGCTCTGTTCTCTGAAGTTACAGAGTAATATGAAATCCTATAAAGTGTCTAAAATTTAAAAGCTACATCTCAATCTGCAGGCCTTCTCGCTAGAGATTGCCCATTCAAGAGGCGTTGTATTACTATGAATTGCCTTTTAACAAGTTATTATTGGAATCCTGGTTAATCTCATTTGGATTTTGGTTTAGCCTCCAAATCTACATGTCAGCTGTTTTTCCTAGCAACTCTGTGGCATGGAAAATAATTTCTAAACTTCTGTGAGTTTTTTCAAATTCTACCAAACAAATAAACAAACAGGCTCAGCTCTGGGAAATGGCTGTTGAAATGCTACCACTCTTCATTTATGGCCAAGCCTCCTGGCACTGTCTGGATCAAGAAGAACCAGACTCCAGCCATCGAAGGGGTGTCCCCCCGTTTTCACGGCCAGCTGGATGGGTCAACGCTCCATTTCTACCCTCTCTGCCAGAGTTCTTTGGCTCCAAAAGGAAAGGAAGAGAGAACTAAGGGCTTGTGCTGGGCTGATTTATATGGTACTGAAGAGGCAAGGGAAATATAATAGGGGAAAAAAAACATTTTGGCTTTAGGGCTGTGCTAAGTTATGGAAAGCATGAAAGGTATGCAATTTATGTTCCCCATCTTCCGTTCAGGAGACTAGTAAAGCAACCTTCCTTGGTGTATAAAAGAACAATTTTAGCCCATGAAGCCTCTTCACCTGGGAAATAACTCCTGGCTCTCTAAGAGGTTACCGGGGCCAGCCTGGCCTCCTGGGCTCCTCCAGGAAGGGGCCACTAGGCGCACTGGGCAAGCACTCCCCTGGCAGCCCAGGGGCATGGAGGGAGCCCACACTGGCCTCCTGCTCTCTAGAATGGACACTAAATGCCTGAGGAGGAAAGATGATGAGTCTTGCTGAGTGAAGAGAGGGTCTGCTTCCCTTCCCCAAAACACTGACTTCCAGGGTTTCTTTTTCAGTCCACTCCCCAATGGCTCTAGCTAACGCAACTGTCATCCAAAGAAAGAACACTCCACCAGCTCCCTCCCCACACTGCTTACCCAGTAGAGCACGTCTGTCCAGCCCTCCATGGTGATGCACTGGAACACGGTGAGCATAGCAAAGGCAAAGTTATCGAAGTTGGTGATGCCTCCGTTGGGGCCAACCCAGCCACTCCTACACTCCGTGCCGTTAACGATACACTGGCGTCCATTCCCTGAGAACGCACATGGCGCTGGGTCCTCTTCAGCTACTATATCTGCAAGCAGAGCAAGAAGGCTTCACCACCCAAGAATGAACATCAGGACACCCAAGCCTGAGGAGGCCGAGCAGCCTTGCTTCCTCCCATCTCTGCTGTCTCCGAATCCCACTTGACCTTCAAGGTCCGCTCCACACAGTGCCTCCTCCGTGGATGTTGCCATTTCCTGTACTCACAGCACCTTTCTCTCCTGGGGCTCTCCCCTCTGTGCTCACTCACAGCACCTTTCTCTGCTTGTGCCCCCTGGCAGCACCTTTCTCAAGTCTGTATACAATGACACTGATTCGCCTCGTGTTCTAATTCTGGGGGTCCCTCGTCTTCTTGCCAGGACACATTATACAGGAAATCAGGACCAAAAAGGAGATTTATTTATTTTGAACATAATTCACACTAGGAACTGGCCCAGTAAATTTACTGGTACATTTGGCTTCTTTTTTTCCTCACTCTCATTTTGTTTTAAGATTTTCTCAAAACCACAAAAGTTGTTTGGGAGGAAATAAAAAGTTGGGTGAGCGACCATTTTCATTACTCACCTGAGTCAGCAAAAAAACATGTTTTGTGCATTTTTCCAATAAAAAGTTCCAATCCTATAATAGCATAGATTATGATTACAAATAATACCAAAAGGGCTATGTGAAGGAGGGGAACCATGGCTTTTATAATGGAGTTCAGGACAACTTGTAAACCTAGGAGAGAGAGAAATAAGTTTGTGAGCCAGGAAGAAACTTCAGGGATGCACATATATAATTCCTAATGGCGCCTGCTTTGCATGTGACACATAGTAATAAGACTCAGAGAGATATCTCAAAGCTTTCAATTAGCATTAATCTGGATGTGAAATAAGTTAAAAAGGAAACTTAAAGATCATCTAATCCAACTTCCTCACTTGACAGATGGGGAAGACCTAGAGAGGGGACTGTCCAGTATCAAAGTTAATCACTCATGCATGCATTTGTTCATCCATTCAAAAACGCTCCTTGAACATCTACCACGTGGCAAGCATCAGGTTAGTGCTTTGGGAGACATGAGGATGTATTACATAATGTGCCTTCTCTCCAAGAGCTTGTATCCTAGGAGGAGACATAGGAATTAAATGCAAAGGAAAGGTCGCACACAAATGCTGTATGAGTAACATCAGTCACAGTTACACATCTGAGGGGGGAGGAGAAAGAGGACTGGGTGGCAGCCTCCCTTTGGCAGGGCCTGGGTCTGAGGAGGGTGATTTCCACAGGTGGGCAGGGGAGAGGCGATGCCAGGCAGAGGGGAGAGCGCACCAAGCGCACAGAGGTGAGCCAGCACTGTATGGGCTCGGGATGGGGGGCCTTGGCTGGTGGGAACTAGTGGGAAGGAATATCAGGAAGGAAAAGCAGCCTGCAGCTAGGTAGCTCTGGGCTTTGAATCTGGGCTACAGGACCATCTTTAGTCTGTTAGTGAAAGGCAGCCTCTTTAGCAAGACGAATGGGGCAGCAGTAGGCAGGATCGGTGGAGACCAGAACTCAGCAACTGAATCTGAGGGAGAAGGAGGTACCTCTGGAGGCAGGGTCATGGGGAAATCCTAGTGCCCAGCCAAAAAAAAAATTTAAAAAAAGCATGTCAAAAGGAGGCTCTCCTGGAATGAGGGAGGCAGGGGACAAGCAGAGGAAGGGGAGCAACTCAGAACCAGTGAGTCGATCGCGGCACAGCATGAAGAGGAAAGCATGCTGCAGCGGAACCCTGGGCTTGAGGGATGGGGAAGGGACACGAAAGCCTGGAGACTGTCCATGGAGTGATACTCAGAGCCATGATATAGGAAGAGAAAGAGGGGGAATGGAGAGGGAGATAGTAGGTGGGAGGAGGCAGAAGACTGAGGGACAGTGATGGCCAGGAGACCAGAACTCACCTAGAACCTGACCTCCACGTTTAGTGTCCTACCTTCTTCCCACCACCCATGACCCCAGCTTCTGCT